TGTCAGATGTTGACCCTGTCTGACCTTAGGCAGTCTGTTCAAGATTTCCAGGAATCTACTGTTTAGATTAACAGCTGAAGGAGACAGCCATAGTCACTCTGGACTCAGCAGGCAGCTTAGACAGTTCAGGGTGGGGCGGAGTCCCTCCTGGGGGTGGGGTTATTGGGTCCTCTCTAGCTGCTGCCATACGGGGGAGGAGTCTGCACTGGGATCCTGCCGGTCACTCGATCCTTTTGCTCCCCAAAGCCTCAGTCCCCAGTATCTCCTCTAGTGTTGCCAGACCTTTCTGAACCCCCTTTAGCCAGAGATTTACTGTCTCTGGCTGCCATTCTGCACTCAGCAGGTGGCTTAGGCAGCACATGGCGGGGTGAAATCCCACCTCAGGGTGGGCTATTGGGTCCTTTGACGCTGGTGCTGCTCAGGGGGAGTGGTTTCTTCCTGAGCAAGATGGCTGCTACTGCATGGGGGATGAGTCAGCACCGAGATCCCACCGGCTACTCTCTCAGTTCTCTCCCCAAAGCCTCCGTCCCCAGTCTCTCCGCAGGCATCTCTAGCCCACTCTGTCCCCTCCTTCGCCAGAGACCAGGGTAAGTGGCCGCAAATAAAAATTTATAAGTTAGCCCTTTACACAGTTCTTTGAGTCTCTAGCTGCCTGTCTCTGGCAGAGAGCAACCCTGCTGCTTTTCGCAGCTGGCTGTTTTCTGTGTACTTTTTGGGCTCTGGTGCTACAGGCTAGAGATCTCCACTTTTGGATTAGACCCCGCTCTTCTCAGGGGGATCCAACCGGCCGTTTCAATATTCTTCTGGTGCTGCTGCCCGTGGGTACCCCGCCCACCTTCTCAAGTCTGTACCACACTCCTTACCAGTTAGATTGTGTTAAAGCAAATTCTTCTGTCTCTGAGGTTACAAGGCTCCTCTCTTTCTATTGTTCAGTTATTTGTTCTAGGTGATTTCTCCCCAATTTAGTTGTCATTCCAGGTTGGTCCTGGGAGGAGGTCAGTGTGACTTCCACTCACCCCTCCACCATCTTGAATATCCCCACTACCTTCACTTTTAAAAATTCTTTTCTTTTTGCTGCCCTGATTTGTTTTCTGCTACCTTGTCTTCCAAATCACTGATTCAGTCCTCAACTTTATCTAATGTGCTGTTGATTCCTTTTAGTGTATTTTTCATTTCAGATGCTGTGTTCATAATTTCTGACTGGTTCTTTTTAATAGTTTCCATGTCCATTTTATGCTTACTGTTTGTTGAAGTTCTCACTCAGTTCATCCATTCTTCCCCTAAGTTATTTGACCATCCTTATAACCATTCTTTTGAAACTGTGTATCTAGTAGATTGCTTACTTCCATTTCATTTAGTTCTTTTTCTAGGGATTTCTCCTTTTCTTCTATTTTTAACATTTTTTTTTTGCCTCACCATTTTCACTGCCTCTGTGTACTTGTTTCTGTGTATTAGGTAGATCTATTTTGCCTTTCAGTCTTGGTATCTTGGTCTTATATAGTAGGTGACCAGTGGGGCTCAGTGGTAGTCTCCCTGATCACCTGAGCTGAGCATTCCAAGAATATCTTTTGTGTGAGTTATATAAACCCTCCTGTTGTAGTTAAGTCTTGATTGCTATTAGCCACCCGTGGGGGGGGTTGACCCTCAGGCTTGCAGATTATGAGGATCAACCCCTATGATAAATGAGCTACTATGTGGGGCTGAGCCATGAACTGGAATTTGGTCCAACAGGATCTGGTGCCTGCTGAGATCTCCCTTTGGGTGTGGCACTTGTCGAGCTAACTGGGTAGTGCTCTGATGTGGTCTGAAGCCCAACACTGGGTGTGTTGGTTCTGGGATCATTGGGAGGGACTCCAGTACAGGTCAGTGTCAGGCATTGCCTGTGACCATTCCCGGGATACCTGTTTGGAGCTACAACATGATACAGTTTGTGGTGGCCTTTTGGCCAAGCTGCATACTAAGGCCAGCATCCACCACCACTAAGCCCAGGGACAAATCAACAAAAGGCTCAAGGCACCCAGAGATTGATCTCCACCTGCTGGCAACCTGTTAGGCCCAGTCACTGAAAGGGCCTCTAGTGGTACACCCATCTGTGTGAGGTAGGTTTTCAGTGAGTCACCAGGTAGGGGTGAGTGGTGTTCACCAGGTTGATACAGATTCAATTTCAGGGCCAGTGCTGGGTCTTAGACCACTCAGTAAAAGTCTCAGTGTACAACAAGGCCAGCCACCTGCGGCCTGGCGCCTGCAGACCTATGTGGTGGGGTGGGGATTCCGGGAGTCATCAGGGTGAGGCAAGCAGAGTTCAACAGGATGAAACAGACCAATATTTGGCCATGTGGAGGGAGGCCTCTGCACAGGAACAGTGGCCCTGGTCAGGCATGTGAGAAAAAAATGACCCTTGCGCTATATCTACATAACTCAGTCTCTGTTTCTCCGACACCCTCTGAATCTGCCTGAACACCCTCAGGAGCCCTCTGAGAAAGTCTGTACCATGGACCCAAGTCAGTTGCAGCAAGGAGACTCCTCTGTATATTGTGAACTTGGCAGAGCAGGGCCACAGGGAATGAGGAGGGTGGGGGGATAATGCATGCCCCAGGCTGCTGCCATATGGAAGGGAGTGCTCAACCCAGGAAAGATGGAGTCTGTGGGAGAGAGAACCTGGGGGAGAGGGACTCTGTACAGGGGCCTTGGCAGCTGTCCCTTCAGCCCTCTCACCAAAGCCGCACAACCCAGTAGTCCCTGTATGACTCCAGTCCACTCTGAGCCACATTCCCTCTACCAGAACCTAGAGTAAGGGCCACAAATGAGATTTTGTGTGCTATCTCTTTAAGAGGGCATATGAGTTTCTAGCAGACTCCAGTCTCTCCCTGGCAGATGGAATCGCTGCTGCTTTTCACAGCCAGATGTTATGCTGGCCCCTCTTCCTGGCTCTGGTGCTTCAGGATGAAGAGTCTGGTTTGGAGTTGAAATCCCTCACTCCTCAGGGGGAAGCTTTGCAGCTGAGATATCCCTCCAGGTTCTCAGCTGCCACATGTGGGTTAAAGGCTAGGCTTTTTCACATCTCCGCCCTTTCTACCAGTCTCAATGTGGCTTCCTTTGTCAATCTTTGGTTATAAGAGTTCTATTTAACTACTCTTCAGTTGGTTATTCAGGTTGATCTATAATTTATTTTTAATTCTGGTTTGATCCTGGGAGGAGATCAAGAAGACCCACCCAGATCACTGCTCTGGATGGGTCTTTCCTTATTGAACAGGCTTGTTTCCCTGTCAAGCTTATTTGGCCTGCTGCCAGGAGAGTAAAGACTGGCTGCCATGCTTCTGGGAGCCGAGTGGGAAAGTAGGCCAGCGGGGGGGTGGGATGGGGTGGGGGTGGTCTCTGCACTGAAAAGATAGGGACACTCAATCTACCTTAGTCCTTCACCTCCCTCTCTGGCAGCATCCCTTTGTGATTATGCCAAATGGCCTCCAGACAGAGATCAGCTCCAGAGAATAAAGGCCTGTCTTCAACAGCCACTCCATCTCCAAGGTCCCTGAACATTGCTTCCTAATATCTCACAAATGTGGCCAATCTCTCTCCGTATTTACCACCAACATCCAGTGCAAGCTGACACTATCTCTGACCTAGAATCCTGACATAACCACTTGCATCTTGCCCCTTCTTGTTCTTTCTGCACCCACAAAGGAGCGAGGGTGGCTCTTTCCTGTCACTTCCCTGCTTAAACCCCTCCATGATTTTCCATGGCTTCCAGACATAGTTCTGCACCTCAGCTGGCACTCTAGGCTCCCCCCAGTCCAGCTTTTTACCTCTGTGTCCCTTCCCCACCCCAACCCTCTGTACCTCTGTGGAGCCACCAACCTCTGTCACAGTTTCTGGTGTTCCATCTCACCTCTCTGTGAAAGACACGACCCACAGCCCAATTATCACCTCCTACGGAAAGCCTCCCCAGGTCATAGCACCTGTCACATATCTGAGATTGCCTGCTCTCCCTTGAGACCCTGAAGGGAAGGTCTGCACTTCCTTATCTGCCCAGCTTGAGCCCAACACTTGGTACCCAAGAGGTGCTGAGTTGAATGGAGCCATGGAGATCATCGTCATCTGTAACTCTGGAGAGCTCTGCTCTGGGAGCTGACTGTGGAAGAAGGGACCTCTATGGAGCCCATCAAGTCTGCCACTGGGTCCGTGATCTCGGGCTCTATCAGCAGTGATCATCTCCCCGCTCCTGGACCTGCAAAGCACACAGAAGGAGACTGCCTCCTGGTATTCAGGATGCTGAGCACACCCCGAAACCCATCCTGTAGGACCTCGGTATAGATGGCCTTTCCCAGAGAAGGGACTGCTTGGCCCAGCTGCCTTCCCCTATAACTATTTGCAAGTCTATTTACTTACTGACCATACTGAGGCATGACTAGGGAGCAAGTGCCCTTCCTGTTGCCAGGTCTGTGGTGAGGAAGGATGTAAGTGGTCATGGGGAAGGCTCCTGGGCAGTGTTGCAGTGTCCATTGAGCACTTGTCAGGAGCCAGGCACTGGATACTCATATGCACACTTGGAGGTGGGTATTACAGTCTCCATTGGATAGATGGAGAATGGAAACTCTCTAAATGCCTTGTTCAAGGTCTCACAACCAGAACGTTTGGAGTTCAAACATGCTGCCTCCCTGGTACCAGGAGAAACAGTTCTTCCTGGCACTTTGGGTAATTGTACTGTATGATTTTGGGGGGGCTCCTCAGACTCTCTGTCCTGGGCTTGGGGAGACTCTCTGGAAGTTGGTGGACAAGTTGGCCTTGCAAGGTTTGTGGAGCTCTTGTTCTGGAACTGAGGGATGAATAATGCAGAGTACTCCCTTCTCAGGCTAAAGGATTCCAGAATCCCTGGCATTGGGTAGAGCAGGGAGGAGGGTGGTAGGGGACCCTGTACTGGCACTTCCTGTTGACCTCTAGGAAGGACTGTGGGGTGCCTGAGCATGGCTCAGTTGCCCTCTCCTCTGGCTTGATTTTTCTAGTAACTGGTGCCCCTATCAGAAGTCCAGGCTGGTCACCTTCGTAGCTGCTTGCAAAACGGAGAAATTCCTCATTCACTCACAACAGCCATGCCCACAGGGAGCTTTGGACTGCCAGAAAGTCAAAGTCATGTGAGTGGGAGCAGGTTGGGGTAGGCCACTGCCCAGTTCCTTCACTGGCTCACCCTGGAGTTTCTGAGCTGGTTCTTTCCCTCCAGGTACCGCGTGGCCCACAAGCCGGTGTACCAGGTCAAGCAGAAGGTGCTGGCCTCTGTGGCGTGGAGGTGCTGCCCAGGCTTTGCTGGCTCCGACTGTCAGCACTATGGTAGGGCTCCCTGTGGTCCTCTACCACCTCAATTTCTAATCCCTCTGACCTCTTGGGGTCAGTATCTGATGTCTCCTTTTTGCAGATCCTGGGGCAGTCCCTGAGCCTGCAGATCCAGGTGATGGCTTCCAGGAGCACTGGGATGGACCAAATGACTTTGAACCTGGTATGCTGCTTTCCTGGAAGGGGCAGGCAGGCAGAAAAAACCCATGTGCTCAGGTCCTCTCTACTCTGATGGGTTGGCGCCATTTCAGGAAAACTTAACCCCCAAATCAGCAGAAGCCCCCTGTGGCCCTGTCACCCTACTCCACAACTAGGAGGCTAGGTTCACAGGGCCCCCAGAGCCCTGCCTGCTGGCAAAGAACATGCACTCTTTTCCTTGACCTCATTTTCTAGGAAGGACAGCTTCATCTGGCACCTTCCTTGCCCCATAAACAGCACAATTTCCCATGGCCTGGAATAAACCTTCAAACACCCCTGCACCTCAACCAGGGACAAGAAGTCATGCTGTTTCTGTTCTTGGAGAACCACCAAAATACCACATTTGTTGGGTCTTTCAAGGCTGGGCCAAGGTTGGGATGGTGAATGAGTTCCATGATGTGGTGAAAGCCTATCTATTGAAAAGTCCTGTCTAGAATGATGCTGACAGGCCATGTACGTGTGGCTGAGGAGGAAAATGCGACACAATTAGTCATGTCTGCTGTGGGCGTGGGCGGCAGGGTGAGGGCTCACTTGCCATGTATTTGCCCTTATGAGGCTAAAGGCTTCTAGGCTGCTGCTCAGAGGACATCAGCACACACCTCTCTGCTCTCAACACCAAAATCTTCTCTGTACCCTATGATCTGCCCAGGTCTGGGGAGTTAGCCCTTAATGCTTATCTTTCATGTGTCTTCAGGCCACTCAGTTGCAGAGACTAGCAACATCATGGTGCTGCAGGAACGCCTGCTGAGAGATCTCCAGAATGATATTCAACACATAAGCAACCTCACAGCTGAATCGATTGAGGCAAACCAGGCAGAGCTTGGTGAGTGGCAGGCTCCAGGGGCTGAGGAAGAACGTGATTACATCCAACTGCATGAGTGGGAGGGGATGCAGAAAGGCCCACACCTCAGAGGGACTCCCTATAGCCCCAACCTGGGGAGGGTATCAGCTTCAGCAGGACTGGTTTCAAAACGTGCCTCTGTTGCAGAGTTCCCTGGCAGATCCTTGGAGGAAGTGCTACATTTCAGCCCCATTTGGAGTAGCTTTAACCAAAGCCTGCACAGCCTCTTTGAGGCCATAAGAAACCTATCTCTTGACATGGAGGCCAACCGACAGGCCATCAAAATGGTCCAAGACAGCACTGTGCCCAGAGCTGACTTCCAGGAGCTTGGTGCCAAATTTGAGACCAAGGTCCAGGAGAATGCCCAGAGAGTGGGCCAGCTGCAGCAGGACATGGAGGATCGCTTGCATGCCCAGCACCTTTCCCTGAACCACTCCCTCTCTGAGGTCCAGGCCAATGTAGACACCAAGTTGAAAAGGCTCCTTAAGGCCCAGGAGCACCTGGGGTCCAATGGCAGCTTGGTGGCAGCAGCAGCAGGGGCTGGGGCAAGGCCAGAGCCAGAGAGCCTGCAGGCCAGGCTGGGCCAGCTGCAGAGGAACCTCTCAGCCCTGCACTTGGCCACCAGCCACAGGGAAGAGGAGTTACAGAGCACCCTGGCAGACATGAAGACGACCCTCGCCCGGCATGTGGAAGAGATCAGGGAGCTATATTCTGAATCTGATGAGACCTTCGATCAGATCAGCAAGGTGGAGCAGCAGATGGAGAAGCTTCAGGTGAACTCTCAGGCGCTGCGTGAGCTGCGGGTGATGCTGATGGAGAAGTCGCTTATTGTGGAGGAGAACAAAGTGGAGACTGATAGGCAGCTCCTGGAGCTCAACCTTACCCTCCAGCACCTGCAGGGTGGTCACGCTGACCTCATCAAGTACATCAATGACTGCAACTGCCAGAAGGTCTCTTCAGGCCTGGATGTTGTCCAGGAGGGCCACAGGAACACCGTGCACAGCCTGCACGACACCCAGGTGAGTATGGACCGGAAGGCCCAGCAAGACAACTCCTCCCTGCAGGCCCTAAGCCACACGGTGGCTGCCGTGTCGCGGGCAGTGGCTGAACATCAGGAGGACGGTGAGCATGCTCGAGTAGAGCGTTCGCGGCTCCGGACCCAGCTGCAGGCGCTGAGTGGCGAGGTGGGCGCACTGAAGGCTGCTGAGAGCCATTGCCGGCGCGAGGTCCGCCAGCTGCACAGCTCCTTTGCGGCCCTGCTGGAGGATGCGCTCCGGCACGAGGCCATGCTGACCGCGCTCTTTGGCGAAGAGGTGATGAGGTTTGAGGAGGCGCCCGACCCACTTCCCCTGCGCTATGAGGAGATCCGCGCCGGCCTCCATGATGCAGCCAGCGGGCTGCGTGAGCAGGCACTTGGCTGGGCCGCGCTGGCCGCCAGGGTGTCGGCCCTGGAACAGGCGGCAGTAGGTGACAGGCAGGGCCCAGAGCGCCTGGAGCCCAGCCACGAGGCAGTGCCAGAGGAGGCTGGAGAGACGGACCCCGCGCAACTGGCACTGCAGCTCCAGCGCCTGGGCCCTGACATTGAGAGCCTGGGGCAGTGCTGTGAGGCCTCCTGGGTCACCGCCCTCCACAGCTCCCTGGAGAGCCTCCACAGAGCCGTCTCCACCACCCAGCGAGGCCTGGAGCACCATCAGCATCTCTTCCACAGCCTCTTTGGGAACTTCCAAGGGCTTGTGGCAGCCAACATCAGCCTTGACCTGGGGAAGTTGCAGGCCATGCTGAACAGAAAAGGGAAGAAGCAGCAAAAAGGTCTGGAAGCTTCTCGGAAGAGAAAGAATCAAGTGGAACCTTTGGCTGATGTCCTGGGAGCAGAGCTCCACAAGGCAGGTGAGTTCCTGGGCAGAGGGAGACTGGGCTAGTCTAGGTGGACAGGCAGTCTGTAAGCAGCTCTTCTTGACTCAGAAGGAGTGGGAGTGACAGAGAACAGATTGGTAGTCATGACTACTCAGGTCCCGCCTTGTCCTTAACTGGCCTTCTATTCAGGCTCAGGATGGTTGGGGGACATCTTAAGCTCAGTGGAGTATAAAGAGCTAGAAGTCACAAGAACCAGCCCTTAGTGAGAAGGCAGAGGCCCTCCATGTAAACATTTGAGGTGCATATACACAGGTCTAGGTGCCTGCCGCTCTGACTACAGAGCAGGGAAGGGAATGCCTCCTTTTCTATCATGCCACACCTCAAACCCCTCTGCCTCAGCTCTCCCCCAACCCCACTTAACCCCCAACCATGTGTCTTTAACCAGAGTGTGTGTGGGACTAGTGTCACTTGCCATGGGCAGCACCCCACAGGGGAAGGGCTTGGGCCATGGAAGGGGCTTATGCTGCTAACAGTTGATCCATCTTTCTGCCCTGAGCTAGGTCCCTCTCTGAGGCCTTGCTGAAGGTCCTATCCCAAGCCAGCCCCCACTGACCCTCCATTATGGCCTCAGAGACCTGGGTCTCCCTGGGAGCACTGGACAGAGCACAAGTTCTAACACCAACTCAGTTTCTCCCTCTCTAGAATGGGAATATCACACCTACATCAAAGGATTGTTACGGGCAACAGGTACATTTACCAAACACCTAGCACAAGGCCAATTTAGTAGAAACCAGTCAATGTTTTCCCAGCATTTTCAGGGCTGAGGCTGTGTCCACCTGCACTAACATTTCTATACTACATTTCTATTCCACTTGTGAGTGGTGCAAGGCCTCAATTGCCTGATGGTTTAGGAATCTCAGTTTACCACTAAAATATTTTGTTTGAATTTTTTTTCCTTAAAATTAAAAACTCCCCCTTATTTGTGTTGCAGGAAGGCCATAGGGTTTGAATTTGTACCCTTCAGGGAAGCCACTCTCAATTTGTCTCCTAGCAAATCAGGAAGCACAGCCCTTCCTCCTTCTGAGAGCACAAGGGCCTTCTGGCTGCGTGGAGGCTCCCTTGGAAGCTCCAGAGGCAGGCTCCACAGGCAGGCTGGCTGGACTGGGTGCAGGGGGACAAAACACCTGCAAAGGGTGTTCTCGGCAGGCCTTCCTCAGGCTGGGCGAGTGCCCCCCCTCCTGGGTGCTGGGGGAACTGCAGGGCCAGTAGCAGGTCTTTGATGTGACAACCTTACACAAATGGGAAAGCCATTCTGAACTTTAATTCTCAGAAATCTTCCAGAACTATATAAGAGCAAAGTTTCGTCATTCACAAGATTACTGGACCAGAAGTCAACAAGCTGAGGCTCCAGTTCTGGGTCCTAAGTAACTGCTATGCAAATTTGTTCTTCCTTTAGGCCTTGGTTTCAACCCCTGAGAAATGGGGAGAGGTGGGGGGAGGAGGAGGGGGGGGAGAGAGAGAGAGAGAGAGAGAGAGAAGAGCAGAGAAGAGGAGAGAACCTGCACAAGTGTGTTGAGGGAACATCCAAGAAGCATGACATGATCAGTACCAAGCCCAATGTCATGGCTGGAAGCCCAGTGAGACTCACCTTTCCCATCCCATCTCCTGGCCCTGGCCAGGAATGTCCTGGACAGTCAACTCAACTAGCTCCAGCTTTCAGCAACGTACCTTTACCATATACACAAAGGGCTTTCTCTGGCTCCGTGCCTGTATCTTCTTATTCACTCCCTCCTTGGCTGGCTAACATGCTTCTGCAAGTGGGAAGATGACGAGAAATCAGGAGTTCCAAGGACAGCTCCCAGTTTGATAATTTATGAGTGTCGTTTAATGGATGTGGAGCAGCCAGTGCTCTGTGCAACATTTTGAAAACATTCAGATGATCAGCTTGAACAGGCTTTTCTTCCCTGGTACCACCGGCCCTTTCCTTCTCTCTCCAAGGTCCTTTATCAAACATCTGGTAGGAACCACTCTTCACTGTTCCTTAGTTATCTCACTAGTGTTAGAACTTTTACCTTGAGAATAGGTAGGTGTATTTTCTCTCCTTCCCTTGGGTATCTCAAGGTCCCTAGCAGGTGACAGCAATATAGAAGTCAGAGACCAGAGTTCCTGTCCCAGCCTGTCATCGACAAGCCATGGACCAGTTCAGCACTCAAGACTCAAAGTTTTCTCAGTCAGGGACCATATGTCTCAAGGATGTTGGAAGGAAAAGGATCAAACCAGAAGGTGCTTTATACAAGTGTACACCAGTAGAGAAAACAGACTTGCATTTTTCTCTCAAATAGTGAAATACTAAGAATTGGCCAATTAGCTCTCACTCTTTGAGATAAACTACTACTAGGAATATCTAGGTTATCTAGCAAGAGGCCTATTTATAATGTTAATAAGGTGAGGAAGGCAGGTCTGAGAGTTAAATTTCCCATCCAAGGGGGTGAGTCACTGAGCACTTTCCTCCTGTGTTCCAGGGTTCCCTGTGGCCTTCTATGCCAGCTTTTCAGAAGGGACGGCCACTCTGCAGGCAGTGAAGTTCAACACTACTTACGTCAACATTGGCAGCAGCTACTTCCCTGAAGATGGCTATTTCCGAGCCCCTGAACGTGGGGTCTACCTCTTTGCAGTGAGCATTGAATTCGGCCCAGGGCCAGGCACTGGGCAGCTAGTGTTTGGAGGTCACTATCGGACCACTGTCAGTACCACTGGGGAGCAGAGTGGTGGAAGCACGGCAACTACCTTTGCTCTGGCTGAGCTGCAAAAGGATGAGAGAGTGTGGTTTGAGTTAACCCAGGGATCAATAATGAAGAGAAGCCTATCGGGCACTGCGTTTGGGGGGATCCTGGTGTTTAAGACCTGAACACTGGGTGCGGCTCACCAGACGTTGTGGACTTGCCCAGCTCTCTGTGGCCTGGGGCTCTGACCAGGGTTGGTCTGGAGACTGTCCAAGTTGGTCTAGGTATTCCCTGGAAACCTGTGAAGATAATGGGCCTCCCTCTAGATACACTGAGTTTGGGTATTTCTTAGCAATGAGGATTGCTGGATGCTCCTCTCTGGGCTGGGCCTGGGCTGAAGAGGGTGAAGCTTGGTTCGGGTGCCTTCTGAGGCAGCACGGCTTGGACCTGAGCTCTTTCCCTCTCTGTATTCTCCAGCCTCTTTGGTGTTTTGCCCCTCCTGTGGTTGAAAACTTCTGTACAACACTAAACCTTTCTCCCACTTCCTCATATCCCTAATCTTATGCTAGAAAATCATTTTTTCCCAGAAGGAATTTGTTTAAAAGAGGTGACATTTTGGGCAATATTGGAAACACTCTCCACTCAGTCACTACAGGGCAGCAGGAGAAAACCAAACTGGTCTCTATCAGTTAATAAATGAAAACAAAGGCTGGCTGAGTTAACCAAATTAGTGTCTTTTCCTTAGCCTCAGTCCTTCTTTGCATTTACCTGTAACTTCACTTCTTTTTCTCTTTGCCTCATATAGGATAAAGACCAAGACATGCCAAACATGAACTAAAATTGGTATAGCTTTCACCTTTTTACTTTCTCCAATTTCTTGACCACCTAATTCTTAGCAGTATCTCTACCAGGAAGGGAGCTGAGGGAGGAAGTTAAAGACTAAAAATTTCCCTCAATTTCATCATCTTTGGAATAAAGCAATGTCTTTCAAATCTCTGCCTGGTTTACTTACAGAGAACAAAAGATTTGGTAAAGTAGGTGGAAATGTGGGACAGAATTAAATTGTGATAAATGTGACTCATTCTTTTAGGCTATATCTTCACAGTTTCAGTTAATTCTACATAAAACACACATAGGCCTCCACAGTAGGTATTGACATTACTGGATTAGACAGTACAGCTCAGAGTTGCAATTATTCCTGCAATACCAATATATGGTTTTCAAAAAATTACAGGTCCTAGAGCAAACGGGATTGAGAGAGCAGTCATCTGGTTGTCAAAAATGTTTTTATTTTGGTAGTAGATTTTCAATATTTGTTGAATATATTCTTCTCCATAAGAAAATCAGATTGGGCTGGGTAATGAAAGAGGACAGGAGTTGGTTGTCAGGGTTAACTAGGTTCTGGCCCTTCCCACATTTTTTAGGGATTATTAATTCAGACTGCCCCTCAGAATTTACATACCACTAAGGTTGGTATGCTCAATGTGTTAAAACATCAGTGTTAAAAGGAACAATATGCCAGGCCACTCTGCCACTGACGGTTTGACATTGGACTAAATCACAACCTTTCTTGAATTGTTTCCATCCATAGTATGAGGTGGTTAGTCAAACAGCTCTTGTTCAGCTCTCACCTACCTGCCCTCCCCTCTGGCCAGGGTCTCTTACCCAGCTCTTAGTTGCCAAGACCAACCCTGCCCCCAAGGTGTGATGTATGTGGGCCTCTCCTGACCAAAGATTGGAAAGGCAGTACCAGGTTACCCTTGCTGCTACAAAGACCATGCCATCTCTTCTTTTTGCTCAGCATTGCTTTTATTGGTCAGGCTGTTCTGATGACTTAAGTGGAAACATTAGGGTAATGCAGTCTTATCATTTAAGATTTTTCACTTGGCAGGTATTGCACTCAATAAGCAGAGTGGAGTGAATTGATCTCTACAAAGGGCACCTGTCCTCCAAACCTCATATGGCCCGTGTTCTCGCAGAGCAAGATTATAAATAGCAGTGCTAACTGGTGAGCTCTGCCAGAGCATAGATGAGTCACTCCAGCAAAGTTCCTGGGATAACTAGAGAAACAATGGTTCTTTTAGATAGGATGCTTCCCATGCAGATTTCACCAAACCTTAATGTTAAGTGCCAATTTTCTAGTTTGCACTTCTATAATCAGGACTCCAGATCAGCACAAATTGTGTTTACTTGATAGATTTCTTATCTCCACTAAAGCATCTAATCTCTGGGTGGAGACTTTTTCACTGTCTTCAAGTAGATGCCCTGTTACCCCCATGTCAATGTTAAAACACCTCTCACTTGTAGTGTCCTGAACAAGATGGCTACTGAGTGCACAACGCTATCCTATCTCCCCAAATGTGATGGAAAATAAATTAAAAAATATCACCATAAAACAAGAATGGGTACCATAAGCGGACCAGGAAGTGTTAGTAATTCCTAAAAAGTAGGATGTAAAAAAATAAAGCAACAATAGGAAATCATAACCCCGAACATTTGAGATCAGTGAAGAGGCAGTTGAGGCAGCAGGCCGTCAGTCCCAGCATCCCTCCTCGCCTGTGCTGAGCACTGGCAGCAGTGGCCTCTGCGTCCCATTAGAGCAGTGTAGTTCAACACTGAGCCCTGAGTCGGGGCAGCTGTTGACCCTGAGGCAGGAAGCTCCCACACCCTGACGACACCTGTACTCTTACTGAAATCAAGACCCAAGGGAGTCAATCCAGAAAGATCTCTATAAACCACAACATAATGTCAAAATAACCCTTTTTACTTTTATTTCAGAAACTCAATCAAGAGGGTATATACTGTTTATACAAAAATGTTTCTTAAAGCTCTCCTCCCCTGAAGTTCCTCTGGTATCCCATGTTTATCTTGAAAACATCAAAAACTCCTGAGCACCATCCCCCTACTCTCCTCCATCAAGAAGCTCCCCCAAACCTGGTTTGACAATGACAGAACTCTTGGGGGCGGTGTGTGGAAGAAGTAAACAAATGGGAGTGAGTGAAAGCCTAGATTCTCTTGAGAAGGCAAAAAGAGAGGAAAGGATTACTTATAGTATTTGCTATAAAAACAGCTATTATCCTCTCACTCCTAGATTTAAAAAAAAAGAAAAAAGAAAAAAAAAAGGGAATCTGAGGAACGTGGAACTGAGGTGAGCAGAGATTCATTAACACTAAGTAACATGAGCAACTAGGCCCAGAGTGCCAAACACCTGTGGAAAGTTAGCATCGTGAACAAGATCCAAAACTCAGAAACCTGGTTTTTGGAATACAAAATCTTTAGAAACACTACAGAAAATTGTAAACATAAATGTAGACTACTTGCCACCATGATCCTGGTCTCTAAATATCACCTCCCCTAAAGGGAACCAGAGGGCCTTTGAGAAAGGGCTGACTTGAGCAGGAAAAGCACCAGGTGAACCTGGAGCATCATAATGTGCCAAAAACAAATGCTTAATAACAGGCACATATCAGAAGACTTCAAGAGCCAGTGTGATTAACTCCCAGTAGCCCAAATAATGACCTAATAAGGCTATAACCCACTGAATACAATAAGAAGGCCTGAATCCATGGTGATGATAAGGGGGCACACACTGGGGTGTCCCGACATGATGCCCGGAGACCACCACAAACATCATGTCCACAAACCCACTGGCCTTTACTCTAGAAAATGTCAGGGTCACAAAAGATAGGAGTTGGAGAACTGTTTCAGATTGAAGGAGAATAAGGAGACAGGACAACCAATGCAAGATCCGAGACAGATTCTGGACCAGTAAAATGTGCTCTCAAGGGCTTTATTAAAACACCTGGCAAAACCTGAATAGGTCTGCAGATTATAGAATTGCAGATAATTGTAATGGTATTAATGTTAACTTTCCCAATTCTGATAATTGTACATAATTGGTTATATAATAGAATATCCCTTAAGTATTTAGAGATAAAAGCATGAGCTCTACAATTTATTCCAAGTTTTTGGAAAGTGTGCGTATATATATATGTGTGTGTGAACACGAAATCTATGAAGAGCTTCTGTAATTCTTGTACACACACAGAATGAAAACGCAATTGTGGCAAAATGGTAAGTTTATGAATCTGGGTGAAGAGCAAATAGCATTCTTTATACTATTTTTCAACTTTTCTGGGAGTTTAAGATTGTTTCAATACTGTTAAAATAAAATGTTTTTTTTTGTTTTTTTGTTTTTTAACCCTCAATAGATGGGCTGAAAAACAAAATGTAGGATGTAACGTAAGAAAGACATGTTAGAAAGTTTGGAAGAAATATCCAGGACACCTAGTATTTGTCTAATAGTAGTTCTAGAATGAGAAGTAAAAGAAGGGAAGAAATAAAGAAATAATGGGAAAAAAGTTCCCAAATCCAAGGATAAAAAAGAACCCAATTAGTACTGAATGAATGTATCTAGACATGCAAGTTTAAACTTCAAAACACCAAAAAGTTAAACTATAAAGAACTGAAACAGACACACATCATATTTCTCACTGGCAGTAAGAGATGCTGAAAGGTCATGAGCAGTATTTTCAGAATCAGATTCCATTTCCAGTCAAAATGCTAGCAAAGGATCAAGATAGAATGAAAAACAAAACCCCCTGCTTTTTAAGTTTGATGGAAATGCCTCCTACAAGTGGTCTTTTCTGCCACAGCCTTTCAATTCTTTTAACATTTTCCCACTTGCTTGGATTTTAGAACAGTACATTTTAATACATCAGACTGATGAAGGAACAGGTGTCAGCAACCCCATTCTAAATTTGCTTTAAAAAATGGCTTTCAGGGACCCAAGATGCCAGAGTAAGTGGAAAGTAGACTAATCTTCTTCCAGGACCAAACTGGAATTACAGCTTACAGAAAAATCATACTGAATAACTAACTGAACACTAGCTGGAGAGAAACCTTATAACCAAGGATAGACAGAAGAAACCACTTCACCACAAGACTGGTAGGGAATACAGAGGAGGCACGAGAGGGCTGGCTGGGCTCCCACAGGTGGCAGCTGAAGTACTGGGAGGATATGTCAGTGGTTGGGGCATTCCCTCTAGTAAGTGTGGGGTCTAACCCCCAAGCTGGGCTCTCCAGCCTACAGCACCAGAGCCAGAAAGGAATGCACATAACATCCATCTGTGAAAAGCCACAGGGTTACTGTCTGCCAGGGAGAGATGGCTAGAGACACAGAAAGCCTCTTAAAGGGCCAATACACAAAATAGTTTGCAGCCACTCACCCTGGGCTCTGGCAGAGGGAGGTCAGAGTACACTAGAGACGCTTGAGGTGAATCTGGGGCTGGTGGCTCTGGGGAGAGAACTGCAGAAACAGCCGACAGAATCTCTATGCTGAGTCATTCCGCATAGTTCAGAGGCCATCTTTTGCAGGCAGAGCACTCCTCTCCAAGTGGCATCAGCCTGAGGGGAAGCAATAGCTCCACCTGCAGAAATTACTCTGCCCCATCCTGTGGTGCTTAAATTAAACCCTGCTGCTGAGGATTACAGCTGGAAGACTTTCACACTTTAACCATACAGAAAGCCTGCTGGCAGATCCCCTGGGCCTGGTGCCAATAAAAGTCAGCCTTGTTGCAGGGCTTGGTTCTTTCTGCACAAACCCAGGCCCAGCAGAGGGAGCCACAAGCTGTGGATTGCTG